ATCTTAACAATTACAAACACTTTTTTCAAAAACAGAGAAGCAATAGGCGTTGTATTTTGAATCGTCATTAAAACCTAAATTTATTACGAATAAAAACTTAAGTTTATACATACAATGTACGATCATTGTTACTCCAGCGGTCGGTTGGCAAGCGGACGGTGTTTCTGAAGCCAGTCATAGCAGAAGCGAGCGAGCGAACAAAAGCGAGCGAGCGAGCGAGCGAACAAAAGCGAACGCGAGCGAGCGGAAAAAAAGCGGTCGGTTTCCGGTCGGAAAGCAGCGAGCGGTCGGAAATTAAGCGATAAGCGGTCGGAAAAAAAGCGATAAAAGCGGGAGGTTGGGCGGAATGAGTACTGTAATCCTGGCTGTTCATGGAATACACTGATTTATTCAAGCAGTAAACATACATTACCTCAAATATTTCATCCACCCTTCTTCCAACACTACTTGCAGTAGCAGGTCTATGAGATGCCGGCTGGGAATCTGCTTCTGACTCACTATCAAAATGTAGCTTAGTATTTATTTTAGTTTTCCTCTTTGCTCCACTATTGCCACTTGCACTACCTGCGCGTGGTTTATTGTGAAACTTCCCCATGGATGGTTTCTTAGTAACTTTACCACTCGCTTGTAAATATGACATTTCCTGTTCTGCTTTTTCTTTGACATCATACCTTTTGGCTTCCCTCTTTTGTTGCAGTTCCTAAGAAAAAAAAACATGATTATATCGAACTACTGATGTCATACATTTATTATTATTAAAAAGAGAATTAAAAGCCATCAGATGATACAGTGTTCAACAAGCTAACTTTCATTACAACAAATATTGAACCATGCCATGATAGAATGCCAGCAGATTCCAATTAGTATTCACTCATTATTACAACTCAATGTTGAATAATTACTCAAATTACATAGATTGGCATTTTTTTAACAGAAAATTAGGAATTAATTAGAGTTAATTTTGTATAATTATTATGAGGAAAAGCCTAGTGAGATGAAGTGAGGTTCTAGTTCAATCGACTAGTGAAGGGCTGCATACATACACCAACCTGTATTGCATTCTGCCTGGCCTGCCTCGCCCTCTCTTCACGACTTCTCTTTCTTTCTGCTTCAACTCTTTTTTGTTGATCTAAAAGATTATCCATACCAGCCCCTTCCTTCCTCATTTGCTCTTCCTTTTCCATTTTCTTATGCAATAAAAGTTTTCTGATTTCCTCCTCACTATCCATGTGTAATTTCTGTGAATACGTCCTATAAGCTTGCTGAATTACTGTAGCAGCCTTGTTTACCGTTGTAATATAATCTTCAACAACTGAATGTTCACTTCTTGGTGATGAAGCCGAAGAAGATCTATTTCCGCTTTTGTGCCCACTTCCAGGAAGTATAGCAGAGTTATTTTGTAACGTGTAAGTGGATGACTTGGGAAACTTATTATTTGCTGATGAAAGCAAGTTCTGGTTATAGGTGTCTAAATTGCTATGAGAATCTTTAAGTATATTTGTTGTTGTGGTATAACTCTGTGAAACAGGAGACCTCTGTTTAGCTATTTCACTCTGGCTATTCAGCTGCTGTGTGTATGGACTGTTGCCGGCAATGGCATCCCCTCTGATGGCACTATTTACTAGTGTACTATCAGCAGTGCTGCTACTTCGAGCACTGGACGGAATTGGAAATGCTCTTGTTGACGACTGGGAATTAAATGAACAGTGTTAGTAAATTTGCTGGAAATCATTTGCAATAGTTAACACTATGTCCCTCATGACATAGATAGTCATGCATGGA